CCGAGCCAGCGGGGAAACCCGCGGGCAGGTGCGCTTTAGCAGCGAGGAAACTCGCCGGTAGCGAGGCTACTCGCGCGCCCCTTTCCTTGTAGGCAGCCGCTGCTGCTTAGCACTGTTTTTCCGCATAATAGTAGTGCGGTACCTGCTCGTCTCCTCCCCCTCCGACTTTAAACGGAGAAGGTTAAAGGCGAGATATAAATCGAGCATGTACCGCTGCCGTGCCTGGCTCAAGCCGGGCCCGGCCAGATATGTGACTGTGCCTCACTGAGGCGCACTACTTGCATCCGAGATCGGAAAACATCCTTTTCCATTGACGATGCCCATCCTACTCTTTACTCCAGATCCCATGCTTCGTCTCGCTCTCTTGCTCATGCGCTATGAGCCTAAGCCTGGGATATGGAAGCGCCTAAGGCGGACTGTATACCTAAGCTTACCAGCTTGTTTTCGACTTCAGCACCCTCAGGGGAGGGGGCCCCTCCAGGTGGAGCGCCTTCAGGCCCCTTCCGAGAGGCCTCTCGGAAACCTTCCCGAGACCATCAGGAGCCTTTTCGGAAGCTTCTCTCTCTCGGAAACCACGTCGGGAGCTCCTCTGAAGCCCCTCGGGGCCCTCGCGGATGCCTCGAGACCCCCCCGAACGCCTCCCACACGTGTCTCACGATCTCCCCCGAGCCACGTGGGAATCTTCTCGGACACGCATCCCAGGAGCCCGCTCGGACGCCGCTCGGAAGCCGCTCGTTGACCCATCAGGAGTCATTTAGAAACCAACCTTTGAGTCGGGCCTGTCTCTCTACAGGAGGAAAATGTAAAATAGTTTTTAAAATGTTGTGGGGACGATTGTTGGAGTGTTTTTGAGCATTTTGGGGATATCTTCTGACAACTTTACATTTCTTCGTGCAAAATCCGCCTGTAGGGGACACGCCCGACCTGAGCCAACCCACCAGAATCCTCTCAGCACCCGCTCTGAGCAACCTCTCGGAAGCCATCGAAGCCTCTCAGATGCCGTTCAGAAGCCTCTCGGATATACGCATCGGCCCCGCAGGCACGACGCGCGTGCGCGCTCAGTTCTCTTCCGGTACAGGCTAGGCTCGGATGCGGGTGTTTGCTGTCGGTAGAGCGCATAGTACCAGTATGTCCTTCTGCGTCCAATCGGAAGCCTCTTGGAAACCCATCAGCAGCTCGGCGGCGAGCCTGGATGGAAGTGAGAGGGGGCTGGCCTTCTCACACGGCGGCGGGGCTTCTGAGTAACCCTCGCGCCTTCTGAGAAGTTGTCAAAGCCTTCTCTCAAGGCAGAGACGACTTCTTTGAAGCCCCGCCGCCTTCTGAAAAGGCCTGCCCCTCTCACCCAGACCCCCGACGTCATGATATGTTCATACTGTTCATACATTCGACCCCCAGAGGTCTCGACCCATCCCCCGGAATCGGTTCCTCATCCTGAGTTTCTTTTTGGCGGCCCCGAGGCCCGGTGAGGGCCCCAAGAGGCCGAACATAAAGAAACAACAAAACAAAAAACCGCCGTCGCTACGTCTCACGACGCGATGGGATCTGGGCCTCTCCCCCTGCGCGCCGGCGCCCGCTGCGCGGGTCGGCCTGAGGCCTGGTGAGGGCCCCCAGAGGCCGAGCATGGCGGGAAACCGCCCTGCCGTGCTTTTTTCACGGCTCGAGTTAGGATGTTCCAACCTGTTTCAGTCTCGATCACCAGGTCAAGTTCCGAGCACCAGAAAAGTACCGACGCTCGAGGGCTTTCACGTGTCGGGGCCCTGGGACACGCTTGCCCGACACCGTCTCGACACTGCCTCGACACTCTTCCGGGTGCTCGGCATTCTTTCTGGGATGTGGTCTCTGCGTACGGTGGTAGCAACATGAGGCTCGTGGGGTGCTGGACCTCTGCACCCGGGGTGCAGGTGCACCCCATCCTCCGTCAGGTCCCGACCCAGCCTTCGAGGGAGGAGGCGCCCGCCTGGCTGGCCGTCTCACGCGGCGGGGCCCGCCGTGAGCAGCGCGAAACGGAACCACCCCAGCGCGAGCAGGAGCAGGCGAAACCGCCCTGCGCTTGGCGGCTGGTGCGACCGCGGCCGAGCCCCTGGCCTCGACACGGTCCGTTCGCCGCCGACCTCGGGCGCCGACCTCGCGCGCCGCGGTCGCACGCCGCGGTCGGACGCCGCTCGGACGCCCCATCCCGGCCACGTGCAGAGGGCGGCGGCGGCGGCGTCGGCGACGACGTTGGCGGCGGCGGCGGCGGCGGCGACGGGGAGCATCCAAACACCTGCGGGAACCCACTGATTTTGCCAACACGGGGTCGTCCTCGCGGACGCGTGCAAAAGGGGGGGTCGGGGGGAGGGGGGAGGGCTTGTCTGTAGCTGTAGGGCCTCTCAGAAGGCGCGGGCCTTGTGTGTAGCTGCAGGGCTGGCGCCTTCCAAGAGGCAGTCTCCTCCTAAGAAGCCTTCCCCCTCTACCTGCCTCCTTGTGCGCGCCGCACACTGCACGTAAGAGTGACCCTTCGGCAGGGTGACCTGTGGTGCTGGCTCACGGATTCTCCCCGATCGCTGACTGAGAATCGATAGCAGCAGTTTGCGCGGTTGGTTTTTGGCCCCCTCGCGCCCCCCCCGAAAGCCGCGCTCCAAAGGTCACTCTTGCCCAGGGCCCCTCTTGCGTGCAGCCGCCCACAGGAGGAGCCGCGCGGGGGCGGCGGCAGGTGCGGAGCGGAGGGGTGGGCGGGGGGGTGGGGGACGCGCGCCGCGAGCGCGCAGAGGTCGCAGCTGAAGGCGCTGCGGGCGCCGCCGAATACGCCGCGCTGCCTCGGGCCCGTTCCCCTCCTCGGCCGCGTGCGGGGTGGGGCGGGGTAGGGGCGGAGGCTTCCAGAGGGAGGCTGCTCCGCAGAAGGCGGGCGCGGGCCCTGGCCGTGGATGCAGGGCCCGCGCTTTCCAAGAGGCGGCCTCCTGACAGGAAGCGTTCCCCTCCCCCGACCCCCCCTACGCGCGCCGCCAGCATTCCCCTCCGCTCGCCCCCCCCCCCCCCGCACCAGATCCAGCGCCCCGAGCACAAAGAGCACTGCGGAGGTTGTCCGCCGTCTTCGGCCTCTGGAGGCCCTCGGCCCGTCCCCCCGGGGCCATCAAGAAAAACGGCCCAGGACGAAAAAAACCCACTGTCGGGAAGCGGGGCGAGTCGAGGCCTGTGGGGGTCGACAAGCAGAACAGGGCGCCGGATCTGTGAGCCCCTCCTTGCTCCTCCTGCGTCGGGGGGGTGGAGGAGGGAGAAGGCGCCCCAGGCCAGCGCGCTGGCGGCGGCAGGGCTCGCGGCAGGGACAGCCTGCAGCGGCCCCCGTGTGCAGAGCCATCCTCCTGCTCCTCGTGCTCCTCCTCCTGCTCATCCGCCACCTCCTCCGTCCCCCTTCTTCCTTACAAGCTCAGCGCCCACATGTCGCGCCGCGAGACGTGTCGGCAGGGCGCGCTGGGCGTCTCGATGTGGACTTCTCTTACCATGCAGGGTCCTGAAGCTTCACGGTTGCAGCAGTTTCGCTGATGGAGGACGGGTCGTTCTGAAAATGTGGGTCTCGCCGCAGCGCCGCCCACACTCGCGGAGCGGAGCGACACGCTGACCGCTCGTATCTCGGAGGGCATGGCGTCTCGCTGGGGCTGCCGCTGCGGTACGCTGTGCAAAAGTTCTTGATCGTAGCAGGAGCGGCAGCGGCCACGAGAGTCCGCGGGACACAAACCTCTGCAGCGCCGTCGTTCTTGAGTGCGCGCCACTTGCACACGCGCGTGTGTGTGTGTGTGTGTGTGTGTGTGTGTGTGTGCGTGCGTGTTTGCTGTCTTCATATGCTCCGGCTTTCCGGTTGCACCCTTGGCCGTTGGTCATCGCTCCATTAAGGGGGTCAAGTGGCAGCCCCTTCTCAAATCACTGCGCCACATGTCGGTCCTTTCCCCCTTCAGTGTGGGTGGGTGGGGCTGCCAGGATTTTGTTTCGTTCCACGTGGTCTCACCAGGAGCTGGTAGCGCAATGCTCGTGCAAATGCATACACTACAATTTGCACATGTGTATTGGCAGTTCACCCGGCCCTAGAAGCTTGGGGAAAAGGGCGTCGTTCCTAGGTGGTGGCAACCGCCATCCCACCAAGGAGAGGCAGCCTGACAACGATTCCAAGGAAGGACGTTCTTGGCACCATCGTGTCTCGCCTGCGTCCCAGCTGTAGGTTCTCACGATGGACCTTCCGCAGATCCATGCCCAGCGTCTGGTCATGTGCGTCAGGCTACCCGCCTTGAAACCTTACTAGAAGCTACCCGCTTTGAACCTTTGACGACGACGACGAAGACGACGACGGCGGCGGCGACGACGACGTTTGGCTGCTGAGGCGGGCCCCCTAACCACCGCACACCCACAAGGGGAAACTCACACCACACCCACAGGGGGTGGGCACCACGCAACGCCCACAGGGGGGGGGCGGAAGGCCATCGCGCGAGGATGGGGGGGGGGATGGCATCGGAGTGAGGGGGGGAGGCCCAGACCCTGGACCATATATGTATGTATCTGATAACACACCAGATGTCGTGACCTCCAGAGCGCGGATCCATTGTGTTTGCTGCTCCCAGGGGCCGTGGCCTCGGCGCTTTCGGGCAGGGGGGGCGCTTGCAGAAGCCTGGAACCTCACCTCCTGCGGTGAGTATTTCGATACCTGGGAACTGTTCACTGGAAAATCAATATTGCCACGATTCGCAGATCATGATAATATCGCAACATTGCCATTTGAGCGCTGGAAGAAAGCGGGAGCGGTTGCGCCGACATTGGCGCGTAAGTTGTTTGCGTATGGTCGCGCGTAAGCGCTCTCGTTTCCATTGTTGCGTGCCGCGCTGGCGGCCCGCGTACGCCGCCGCGGAAGGTCTTTATGTCTTCTCGCGTAAGACCCCCTTCTGTTCGTTGCCTACATGCCACGCGTGATAGGACTGAGCTGCGCCGTTGCTGAAACCTGACCCTCGCAGTGCTCAGCTTGATGGTTTCTCCCAAAGGGGGGCCAACGGAGTTCTCCGACCTGGGCAGCACCGTGGCCTTGGCGGCGGCCAGGGAATGTCTGCCCACGGCGGAGATTGCCTTGCGGCGATCGTCAGAGGAGGGACATGTACCCATACCGCTACCCACACCGCTACCCTTCCCTCATGTTACCTTTTTTGGACCTCCTGGGAGGTCCTCGTCGCCACGGCTGGATTTCCTTCGAGATTCTGGTCCGAACGCACACTGGGAGAGGTCACCTGGGGAGTGGCGGTATCGGTACCTTTGATTTTCCCAGATCGCGCGGGTTCCGCCAGGAGTCCCTGGAGAAGAAGAAGCTGACGGAGGGGTCGCTGTCTGAGCACAAGGACAGCCGCGCCGAGGCGAGGGGGGAGGGGCGGCCGTGCAGGCTGGAGAGCGAAGTCTTACAGCATCTCCAGCACCGCTTGATTTTTCCGTACACCTTCTAGACCACGCTTCAGGTGATAAGAGGGTTTGTGGGGGGCGATGCATTTGCACGTCGCTTGGCCCTTCTTGGTCAGATTTTCGATTCGCACTTCGACTGCAACTGGGCTTGCATTTCGAGTTGTATTCCGATGTGCCGTATCGATTGCGATTGGATTTGCGTCTCGATGTGTGTGTGTAGATCAATGCAGGGCGATGTTCACATCGATTTGCACTTCGAGGGTAAGTGGATTTGCAGTTTGACTTGCGCTTCGACTTTCTCGCTGCTTTAATTTCGACTCTGACGTGCACGTACATTTCGATGTCCACGTGCATGTCACGTGGCTGTGCCTATCGATTTGCGTTTCCCACGGGGACATCCGTGGACAACCCGCGGGACCACCGCGGGACAGCCCCCCGCGGGAGAACCGCGGGACAGCCTCCGCGCCCCCCCCGCAGGCCGGCAGGGAGCAAGCCGAGCCCTCCCTTGTTGCAGGCAGGGCCCCGGCAGCGGCGCCGCTACGCCTCGTCGCCCTCGCGTGCGAAACCCAGGAAGCGCCAGCTGCTCGGGGCCCGATCCGCCGCAACAGATCTGCACGGGCACCCTCCGGTGGATTGTTCCTGGACCCCAGAGGGCGGGGTGGCGGTGCGTGAAACTCATTACTGTGCTGCTGATAATGATAATGAGCACGAGGGGCATGATAATGATAAGTTCGCGCCCCCGTGGGTAATGAAGGACTGATAATGATGATTCCACCTACGATTGGTTCTTGCCGCGGTGACAATGAGCTTCGGTTTCGCCGCCACCCACCGAAGAAAAACATTGTTCGCGCCCGGGGTAGTCGTGATACAGGAGGGAGGCGGTGGGGTAGGCTTTATTATCGGGGGCATTGGGTAATAGTGACTGGGGACATGTTCGGGGAATTATTGGTTCTTTGAGGGTTGCTCGATATTTCTGGTTGGATTTACGCTTGTTGTTAGACAAGCTGGATTGCCATCCGTTTCGATCCAGAGTAGAATTGTTTTGGTGGGGTACCACCACGCCTCGGGATCCCACCCCATAGTTCAAGAGGTGCGCACCCCCCGACACGCCGTTTTTCGAAGCTAGCTCCATCTCGTTCTCAGAGGGCTGGGGGCCACCGTCTAGCCCACGCAGTCGCCTCACGTCCTCTAGCTCGCGCCGCCGCGTCCGCTGTCTCGGCCTGGTTCATCCGAGTGCACCCTCCCCTGCAGTCGTCCCTCCATCGTCCCTCCACAGATTCCGTCCCCTCTTCTTTGCCTGTTTTGCACCTAGCGCCAGCATCAGTCCCTCTCTCCCGCCCCCGTTTCTTCTCCCTGCCTGCCAATCCTCCACCTCCCGCGCGCAGTCACAAGAGGTTTGAGGAAACAAGTGGGCCGCAGCGCTCCTCTGGCAAGTGGATGATCTGAAACATGTTCCCGGTGTGTCGTCGTGGCCGTCGAAGTCGCCAGGGCAGCCAGCGACCCAGACGAGAAGCAATGTTTGTTTGTCCGTTCTCCCTTGCGGATCCGAGTAGACATGGTCGGAGGATGGCGCCATATCGCGGATGCATCGGCGACACGGCGCGATGTGTAGCCCACTCTGCTCCACGCCGACGTCGCCGACGCGTCGCCGAGGTCGCCGATGCACCAGCGATGTGTCGGCGATGGCATGCCCTCCTCCGACCCGCACGTCTTCGGACCCCATCCCACCCACCAGACTACCGCAGCCCAACCCGAAGGCTTCCATTTGCCCTCCATTTCCAGGGGGGGGGACGGGGAACGTGGAAAGAAGCACATGGAACCCGCACCCGCCCCAGCCCCGAAATTCGGGCGAAATTCGGGTCTTCGGGTCGGGTTGGGGTGGTTTGGTAGGTAGTCACCATGTGGGAGGCCTCCAATTCTGTGGCACGGGATGCGCCTGCGTCACCCGCCCGCGGGGCCGCGAGCAGCCCTGCCGCCCCACCCTAGTGCTTTTTTTGATTCGTCCCTGCCCGACATACCGTGGAAACCCATGCCAAGAAACACCCCGCTTGCCTCCAGGGTGCCCTGGGTATCTCGGGTTTCGACGGCTCCGCGATGGAGAGCGTGACGTCCCCACACCAGCAATTAGTGGACGTCCTGGGGCCTCAGGGTTGGGTCTCTCGTGGAAGGTTCCTCGTGGTCGAGCTCCTGCTGTGTGTGCTTGATCGCGTCGCCCGCCTGCGGCGCCGCGAGCAGCCCTGCCGCCCCACCCCGGCGTCTGTTTTGAGCCGTCCGCGCCCGACTCCTTTCTGCTGACTCGCCCAGCCGCGCCCTGCGGCGAGGGGGGCCCCCCGCGCTGGCCCCAGGCAGGGCTCCACGTCGCCTGCTGCTCGTCAGAGCTGGCCGCCGTGGTGGAGGGAGCGCAGAGATGCCAAGCGTCAACGAGAACTCCCTCTCGAACTCGTGCCTCTCCCCCCCCCGCAGGCGAAGGAGGCCGTCGCCAAGGCGGAGGCCCTGCGCGCGAGCGAGAACGCGGCGTTCAAGCAGGACGCTCTGCTCCTCTCGCCGCTCTGCCGGGGCGCATCTCGATTACTCCGACTCGATTCGCTTCGATTTCGATCGATGTCGCTCCCGATTCGATCCGACCTTGATTCCGATGTTGATCTCCGTTTCTCAGCGCAGGCCGTGCTTGCCTGCCTTTGTCCGCCGACTCGACGTCTGCCGATTGGGCTGCCGACTTCCGCCGATTCGAGCCCCTCCGATCGCCGATCCGATGCATCGCTTCGGCCATGGGTGCGGGCAATACCTCTCTCCAGATCCACGGCAGTATGGAGCTTCGGGCTCCCTTCCCCAGAAACCCGAGGCGCACGGGATGTGGACACGGTTGCCTCCGGGAGGCTCGAGTTTTGCCCATGCCCAGTGCGCCTCGGCCGTGCGGCGGCCCTGCCAAGAAAAGAGGCCAAGACGCACTGGATGTGGACACACACCTTGCCCGCCATGGGCTCTGCTGCCCGGCTCGCCCTGCCTGGCCGCCCTCTCTCGCCCACGCTCTCCTCGGCCCCGGCAGGGGCACACGCCGGGAGCGCGCAGGGCGAGGCAGCACGGATGCCGCTGCCCCCCTGCCTCGCTTTCGCGGCCCTCGGCCTCGCGGGCGGCGCCTCTCCGCCGGCGCCGGAGTCGCCCCGAGACGCTGGTCAGCGCGCGCCCAGGAAGAGAGCCCAGGGAGTAGCGGCACCGGCACCTTTGGTCGGCGGGGGGCACAGGGGGGAAAGCGAGAAGGGGCGGGCCTTCGCAGAAGGCTCGGAAGTTCCCCGTGCCTTCTGAGAAGTGTCCTCAGCCTTTCTGGAGGGGAGAGAAGACGCCTCAGACGGCGCGAGGGCTTCTGAGAAGTCTCACCGTCTTCTCAGAAGGCCTCCTTCTCACTTCCCCGCTCGCTCGCCGCCGATTTTGGTTCCCCCGCTGGGGTCGAGGTGGGAGGAGCGAAGCGCGGCGTTCGAGAAGGACCTCTGCATCCTCCCGCCGCTCTCTGCTCGCCGCCTCTCTCGCCCACGTCCTCCTGGGCCCCAGCGTGAGCACAAGATCGGTTCGTTCGACGCGGAGCTGGGTTCGACCAACAAGCAATTGCACAAACAGCAGCCTTCGACGGTCCGCGCGGATTTCCTGGATCCGCTTTGGGGCCCGCTGGATCCGCGGGAGGGGGCTCTAGCCCAGATCCAAGACATCCGCGCGGACCTTCAACATTGTTATTTTCCTCCTCCATGGATGGAGCAAGTCTCAAGGGAGGAAAACCACTCGGACTGGATAGTAGGCGTTTACTCATCGACCTTGGGCGTTTCCTAACCAGCCCTGCCCGGTTCGATTCCTTCTTCTGGCGCGTTTACTAAACGGCTTCACGTGTCGGGGCTGTCAATATGGGGGTGGATCTTCTGGCTTCTAAAGTCGCCGGCCAGGAGAAGTCCGACTCCGAGACCAACATCAGCGCGATCAAGGCCGCCGTGGCAGCGCTCGAGAAGGCCGCGCGCGGCGGCCGCGCGGGCCCCCCGATGCGCGCATGCACGGACCTGGCTGCTGCTTGAGCGGCGCACCCTCACAACGAGTGACCCTCCCGTGGCCGCTGGAGCTCGAACGCGCATCCCGAGCGAGGCGACTGAGCGGTGTAGACGTAAGGCGGGCCTGTCCCTCTACAGGAGACATAGTCAAACATTGTCAGACAATAGCCTTGGGACCATTTGAGAATATGTTGTGACTACTTTTAATGTTTCCTCGGAGATCGGCCTGTAGGGGGGCAGGCCCGACCTACGTGTAGGCGAGTGCCGCTTGAGCTTGTACCTCATCTGGCACCAGCTCTTGCAGCCGAGCGCATCGCAAGAACACATCATCACATCATCGCATCAGCAGGGCAGCAGCATCGTGCGTGCAGTTACGGACATGAGGTCTACAGCGGCGCAAGCAAACGGGCCCGACTGCGAGGGCATTCGCGCGCAAGCTGCCCGCGTAAGGTCGCGCGTGAGCGCCCTCTTCTCCAATTCAGCGTGCGGCGCTGGCGGGTCGCCGAACAGGCGGCGTAAGGCGGTTATGCCCTCTCGCGCAAGGCCCGCTTGCTGCCGTCGCTGACGTGCCGTTGCACATAGCTCAGACGCCTCACGGCCTGGATTTGCCTGCCCTTTGGTATGGAGAGCGCATCCAGGAGGAGGAGGAGGAGGAGGAGGAGGAGGAGGAGGAGGAGGAGGAGGAGGAGATGGAGGATGGAGGATGGAGGATGGAGGATGGAGGAGGAGGAGGAGGATGGAGGAGGAGGATGGAGGAGGAGGACCTTCCAGATTGCCTTCGGAGGGAGCGCCTGCCAAACCCGTGGTGGCCAGGTTTGGGGGCGTCGTGCAGGTCAGCGATCGCCGAGAGAGCCCACGGAGGGTGCTGCTCACTAGTAAGTGGCCCCGCGACGTCCGCGAGCCGGGGCCTCGCCCTCCTCCTCCTCCTCCTCCTCCTCCTCCTCCTCCTCCTCCCTCCTCCTCCTCCTCCTCCTCCTCCTCCTCCTCCTCCTCCTCCTCCTCCTCCTCCTCCTCCTCCTCCTCCTCCTCCTCCTCCTCCTCCTCCTCCCTCCTCTTCCTCCTCGTCTCCGGGGCCTCGCCATGTAGGCGTGTTGCGGAATGTGTGGTATGGTAGGTTTGGGCACGTCTGATATAGTGTGTACGGTGTGATACTGCGGTGTAGTAGGCATGGTATGTTACGTTGTGTGTGTGTGTGGTAGGTATGGTGTGGTGGGTATGATAGATTCCACATGGAATGTCAGGTTCGGTGTGGTAGGTATGGTATTACGCATGGTACGTAGCACCCCGCAATTGCGGATAAAAGTGAGGGGGCGGGCGCGGGCGACGCGGGCGTCACGCCCCCTTCAGGAGGGTCCTTGAGCACCCCGAGGCCCCTTAATTGTGGGCGCCTTGAGGCAGCTTCCCCTGAACCCAGGTTTTGGGCACGGATGCTGAATTGCAGCAGGCAACTGGATTGTCAATGAACGTGTTCAGACACAGCCCCGCCGCAGGCGCCGATGTGCTGTTGTAGAGTCAGCGTGGGCCGGATCGGGGGAATGGCACGAGGGCGCTTTCCCAAACCAATGCGAGCAAGCCCGCCGCAGGCGCCGATTTGCGTGCTCTGGCAACTTCAGCGCGGGGGGGATCGCTGGTGGGCCACCCGGAACGAATGCAAAAACAGCCCGCCGCAGGCGCCGAATTTTTGGCTTGTTCAGTGAACGTAGTTTGGGTCGCGAGTGGGTCGCGGGCTCTCCACCTCCACCTGGGAGGGATTCAAAAACAGCCCGCCGCAGGCGCCGAAAATATTGATTTGTACGCTGAGCGCGGTTTGGGTCGCAGGTTCTCCACCTGGAACGAACGCAAAAAAAAAAACAAGCCGCGGGCGCAGAATTGTTTCCCTACCTAGGCTCTGCCTAGAAGGGTTCTTACCGTGTTGGCTTAAACGGCCAGGCAGTGTTCCACGCCCTGGGCGGTTCCCCCAGGATCCGCCCCGCGGTTCCCCCAGTGGCGTTCCTTTAGCTTAGCGTTGCTTATCTCATCTTAGCTTAGCTTATTTCATTTCAGCTTAGCTTAGCTTCATCCTAGCTCAGGTGTATCTTAGCTTGGCTTACCTTCATCTTAGCTTCGCCGAGCTTTAGCATAGCAGAGCACAGCATAGCATAGCAGGGCGTAGCACAGCACAGCGCAGCACAACATATCATAGCAAAGCCCAGCATAGCACAGCATAGCGCAGCATACCATATCATAACATAGCATATCATAGCATAGCATAGCATAGCGCAGCTTAGCAGATCATAACCTAGCATCGCATAGCTTAGTATAGCACAGCGCAGCATGACATAGCATAACTTATCATATCATCGCATATCATAGCATATCATAGCGCAACATAACATAGACAAACATATCATAGCGCAGCATATCATGGCATATCATAGCATACCATAGCATATCGTAGCATAGCACAGCATAGCATAGCAACGAATGCTGCTTTCGTAGGGGCTCCAACTTCTAGGTCGGGTCGCACTGGGGTAATGGTTTGTTCAGTGAACGTAGTTTGGGTCGCGGGTGTGTCGCGGGCTCTCCACCTCCACCAGGAAGGATTTCAAATTCAGCCCGCCGCAGGCGCCGAACATATTGATTTGTACACTGAACGCGGTTTGGGTCGCGGGTGGGTCGCAGGTTTTTTACCTGAATGCAAAAGAAGCCCACCGCAGGCGCCGACAATTTTGGGTGGGTCGCGGGGTGGGACGCGGGTGGGTCGCGGGTGGGTCGCGGTGGGTCGCGGGTTGGTCGCGGGCGCAGTTTGGGTGGCGGGTGGGTCGCAGGTTCTCCACCTGGAACTAAGAAACCCGCCGCAGGCGCCGAACATTTTGGTTGGATCGCGGGGTGGACCGCGGGTGGGTCGCGGGTGGGTCGCGGTGGGTCGCGGGTGGGTCGCGGGTGGGTCGCGAGGTGGTCGCGGGTGGGTCGCGGGTGGGTCGCAGGTGGGTCGCGGGTGGGTCGCCGGGGGGGTCTCGGGGTGGGTCGCGGGAGGGTCGCGGGGCTGGTCGCGGGTGGGTCGCGGGTGGCGGGTGGGTCGCGGGGTGGGTCGCGGTGGGTCGCGGGGCGGGTCGCGGGTGGGTCGCGGGGATCGCGGGGTCGCCAGTGGGTCGCGGGTGGGTCGCCGAGGGGTTCTCGGAGTGGGTCGCGTGGTGGGTCGCGGGGTGGGTCGCGGGTGGGTCGCGGGGCGGGTCTCGGGTGGGTCGCGGGGTGGGTCGCGGGTGGGTCGCGGAGTGGGTCGCGGGTGGGTCGCGGGGTGGGGCGCGGGGTGGGTCGCGGGTGGGTCGCGGGGCGGGTCGCGGGTGGGACGACGACAACGACAACAATAAGAATCCGCCTCGCGGAATTCCACTTCAGCCACACACCCAGGGACAGTGAATGATCGTTCGGTTCAGCCCTTTTTTTCTGACGGTAGCTAGGGTATAGCAGGCAGGTGTGCACCTGGTATGGTGGGTTTGGTATCATACGTCTGGTACTTTAGGTCTGGCATGGTAGATTTGGTGTGGCAGGTCTGGTGGCAGTATGTGCGGTGGCGATTGTCGGGACCGTCTGTGCGTTGGCCTTTGCGCGTTGAGGCTTCCAACCGATTGGCAAGGTCCGTTTCGTACCCTGCGGGGTTCTTCCACTCGTGCGCCACGTGGCGGCTCTCGATGGCCTCTTGCGCGCGGGGCTCGGCGAACGTTTGGGGCAACCTTCGGGGGAATTGCGGGGCAGGTCCGGGCTTCCTTTCCGGCAGCGAGTATGATGAGTCGTGACATTCTGGCGAGGAGGCCCTCCCGATGAGGAGTTTCGTTCGTTGAGGCCTCCCCGTCCCCTCTGCTGGTTGCTGACCTCGCTCTTCCCCGGGGGACCCCCCCCTGCCGACGCCTCGAGCTGCTGCAGAACGTTGACAGGCCGCACCTCGGAGTTGCCCCAGGACCAGTCGCGAGTGGATTCTATCTAGCCCGGAGGGGTGTACAGCGCATCTCCTTCAGGGGCTTCGGGGGGCAGCTTCGCCAGGGTGTTCTGGGGCCGGTGCTTGGTGTTCGGCTGCGTCGCAGTCGGCTGCAGTCGGTCGGTTCGGCTCGGCCGGCTGTTGCAACGCTGCTGCGTCGCTTCGCTCTTCTGGGCTGCTTGCGGCCTGTCGGCCTGGATCGCTTTCGGTTTCGCTGTCGGTTCGGTCGGTTTTCGGTTTTGGTGCCGCCATGGACGGCCCGACTCGATGGTCAGATGCCTCGGGAAGAGTGGACCCGCCAGGGTCAAGTCGGGCATGCCCCTCTACAGGAGGACAGCTCAAGAGTGGTTCAAAAATAGTCTGGGGGACGATCTGTCGTGCTCCTTTTGATTGTCTTTGACTGATCGTTGGCCATGCCTCACTTTCTTACCAGCATGCCCGACCTCACGCCAGGGCGTGGGCCCAGTAGACAGACTGCCTGGCAGGGGCGGGCGCCCCCCCCCCACCCCTGCCGGACGCGACCTGGGGCGCCCCGCCAGGGCATGGGGGCCTCCTTCCTGCAGTCGGGGGCTGCCAAGAGGATTGCCCAGTTCGCCATGGAGAAGGCCACGATGGCCGACGCCGCCCGCCAGGACACCGGCGGCGTGCCCCGAGATCCTGGCGTCTGACTCTTTTCGAGCCGGGCGTTTTCGCTGCTCCTGAGGCCCCGGGACCCTCACGGAGCCATCCGCCTTGAAACATGACGCAGAAAGATGGGGTCGAGGGCTCTGGGTACGGTAGGTTCGCGTCGTGTCGACCGGCGGCGACCCCGCCGCCGACGTTCAACGTTGAACGCCGACGGCGGCCCAGAGTCGGTCGATGTGGAACGATCGGACGTTGCGGAGACGGCCGATCGTTCAAGGTGGAACGATCCAGCGCGGTGCCGGGAGCCAACGCCGGGGTCGACATGACACGAGCCTGCAGTATGATGTTCCTCGATGCTGCAATTTTTTCGCTACGTCGGCTCTCAGGGAGGCGGGGGAACGTGTCCTTCAGGAGGGGAAGAAACACACAGACACAATTAATCGTCGATTCCCCAGAAAATATGGGAAACTATGGGAAGTGGGGGGGAAGACAGAAACCCAGAAAATATGGGAAAATATGGGGAGTATTTTTATTTGTGTGTATTTATTTGTGTGTCCTGGGGGCCCTTCAGTCCTGAGGTTCTCCTCCGCTTCCGAGCTCCCGGGGCCCCACCACGGGCCCGCTTCCCTCGGGACCTCCGGTGGGCCTCCTGCCGGTCTGGGTCGGCCGCGGTGCTCGATGCGTCCGCCGGATCCGATGGCTCTCAGGGGCTTCCTATCTGAGAGGGTTTATTCGGGGGTGGACAGAACCCCCACCCTGACACGTCGATTAGTGAATTGTCCGTTTTTGGTTCTCGAGAAGGCGCCGCCTCCGTTATTTTTCAGGTTTGCGCCCGCCAGGTTTGGGCCCGAGGGCGTTTTCACTAAACCACGTTTTACTAAAGGGGGTTCTGTCCATCCCCGATTGTTGTTAGGCACCGGGGGTGACGCGTGTGACCCCCCCTCTCCAGACCCCCCGGCCCCCGTTCACGATACCGCCTGGGAACTGGCCACGGGCGTGAGTCTTTGCAGCTTCATCGGAGCTTCTAGGGGCTTCCTATCTGAGAGTGTTTTTTTAGGCACCGGGGATGACGCGTGTGACCCCCCCTCCAGACCCCCCGCCCCCGTTAACGGTACCGCCTGGGAATTGGCCACGGGCGTGAGTCTTTGCAGCTCCATCGGAGCTTCTCGGAATCCTGAGGAGGAGGAGGGGGAGGAGGAGGAGTAGGAGGAGGAGGAGGAGGGTCAGAAGGAGGGGGAGAAGAAGGACGGGGAGGAGGAGGAGAGGAGAGGAGGAGGAGGAGGAGAAGGAGGAGGAGGAGGAGCAGGAGGAGGAGGAGAAGTAGGAGGAGGAGGAGGAGGAGGAGGAGGAGGAGGGCGATGACGACGACCGACGCGGCCAAGAAGTTTCTGAAGGCGCACAGGCATTGTCGTCGTCGTTGTGGTCGTCAAGGTGCGCGGCGGTATTGTGGTGTACGACCACGGTGTGGTGCACACGGCTACTGTTCATTACGTATACGTGCAGGTGCCATGGCGTATCAAAACGATCTGGTGCACGCAGGCATTGTGGTGAGCAATGACGTTGTTGCGCACGCGGATGCTGACGAACACAGAGGCAGTATATGGTGCACGCAGGTGCTAGGCTGAACAGAGGCACTGTGGTGGGCGCATGTGCTGTGGTGCACGCAGGCGTTTTCGTAAGCACATTTATTATTGTTGTGCACGAAGGCGGTAGTTGCACTGGTGCTGCTGGCGTGCCTTCGGGAGTGCACGTGGCCGCCGCTACCGTTACACTTGCCCGCCGACCCCGACCCCCCCCGTAACACGCGTGACCCCCAATGGATAAAAGAACGATCTCTTTGTCCCAACCCGATGCTGTCTTCATCTTGCCTTCGCCCTGGGCGGAGCATCCCGCAGGAGGTGGACCGCCGACCGGCTCGGTGGGGTCGGGGGCAGAGGCAGCACCGGGGGATCGGTCTGCGCTCCCCGCCGTGCCCGTGTCGTGCGAAATCCTCGGAGGCCCACGGGAGCGACGAGGCCAAGAGGAAGCAGCCGGTGAGAGACGGCGCTTTGGGCCTCGAGGCTCCGTCGCAACGCCCGGACCGTCTCGCCTTTTGGGCCTTCTGACGCCCTGCTGGAAGTACTTTCGCCATCTTGGCCGCCACATTTCAGAAGGAATTAGCTTGACGAGGGGCCCAACCATCTGCAGGTGCGAGTGCCGCAATAGTGATTCACTTTTTTCGGTGGTGATCCCTATGAGGCAACGAACCGTGCTAGGGGTGTGCCGACATGAGTGGCGTGGTACACAACGCGAACGAAAACGATTGATTTGAGTACGTAGAGAGAGTGAGCGCGGGCGAATCTGAGCGCGAGTGCGTCTGACTGTGAATGAATTTGCGTGAGAGCGAGTCTACGTGCATGACTGCGAGTATGACAGGGCATGGTATAATTGTATGTGAATGTCAATCGTTTGAGAATGGCTGCCTCTGAGTACTCGTGACGCTGGGCGTTTCCGCCGCACGGAGTTTCCCCGGGACTCCCCGACGGCATCGCCCGCGCGCCGCGACGCCAATGTCGGCGCGCCCCCCTGCGAGGACCGCGCCCGCTTCCTCCCCTTTTTCTACTCCCTTTTGCCCGCGCACTCAAAAGTCCAAGGCTGCGGGCGCAGCGCAGCGCGGAGTCCCCGCGACGCGCGCAGGTCGCCCCGGAGGGGTCCCAGCGACGCGCGCGGGTCGTCCGCTGCGCGGAGCAAAGAGAGCTAGCTGGCTGGCTGATAGCGGGCAAGGCTATTGCCGCTGGGCAGAGCGACGACGGGCGAGCGAGGCGCTGGGCACAACGCGGCACGGAGTCCCCGCGACGCGCGCTGGTCGCCCCGGAGGGGTCCCAGCGACGCGCGTGGGTCGTCCGCTGCGCGGAGCAAAGAGAGCTGGCTGGCTGGGACTTTCGGCGGGGCTCCATATGGGGCCACGAAACGCTGTAGTGGGTAAGGGAGACGCATGCGGACTGCGCCACGGGGACCTTCGGTGGAGTTTTCCCTATGGGGCCACGAAGCGTGTGAGGGGTGTGCCGGAATCAATGGCGGGGGCGCATGCGGACTGCCACTGGGACCTTCGGCGGAGCTCCTATGGGGCCACGAAGCGTGTGAGGGGTGTGCCGACATGCTAACGGGGACGCATTCGGACTGCACCACGGGGGCCTTCGGCGGAGCTCCCTATGGGGCCACGAAACGTATGAGCCATGTGCCGAGATGAGTGGCGGGGACGCATTCGGACTGTGCCACGGAGACCTTCGGTGGATCTCCCTATGGGGCCACGAAGCGTGTGAGGGGTGTGCCGGAATCAATGGCGGGGACGCATGCGGATTGTGCCACTGGGACCTTCGGCGGGACTCCCTGTGGGGCCACGAAACGTGCGACGGGTGTGCCGAAATCAATGGCTGGGACGCATGCGGACTCTGCCACGGGGACCTTCGGCGGAGCTCCCTAAGGGGCCACGAAGCGCATGAGGGGTGTGCCGAAATTAATGGCGGGGACGCATGCGGACTGTGCCACTGGGACATTCGGTGGAACTCCTATGGGGCCACGAAGCGTGTGAGGGGTGTGCCGACATGAGCGGCGGGGACACATTCGGACTGTGCCACTGGGACATTCTGCGGAGCTCCTATGGGGCCACGAAGCGTGTGAGGGGTGTGCCGACACGGATGGCGCGGACGCATGCGGATTGTTCCATTGGGACTTTCGGTGGAGCTCCCTATGGGGCCACGAGACGTGTGAACGGTGGGCCGAAATGGGCGTGCGGGACGCATGCGGGCACACCCATTGGGACCTTCGGTGGAGCTCCTTATGGGGCCACGAAACGTGTGAGGGGTGTGCCGAAATGGGTGTGCGGGACGCATGCGGGCACACCCACTGGGACCTTCGGTGGGGTTCCTTGTGGGGCCACGAAACGTGTGAAGGGTGTGCCGAAATGGGCGTGCGGGACGCATGCGGGCACACCCAGTGGGACCTCCCTATGGGACCACGAAGCGTGTGAGGGGTGTGCAGAAATGGGTATGCGGGACGCATGCGGGCACTGGGACTTTCGGTGGAGGCCACGAAGCGTGTGAGGGGTGTGCCGAAATGGGTGTGCGGGACGCATGCGGGCACACCCACTGGGACCTTCGGTGGGGTTCCTTGTGGGGCCACGAAACGTGTGAAGGGTGTGCCGAAATGGGCGTGCGGGACGCACGCGGGCACACCCAGTGGGACCTCCCTATGGGGCCACGAAGCGTGTGAGGGGTGTGCAGAAATGGGTGTGCGGAACGCATTCGGGCACACCCACTTGGACCTTCGGTGGAGCTCCCTATGGGGCCACGAAGCGTGTGAGGGGTGTGCCGGAATCAATGTGCGGGACGCATGCGGGCACAGTCACTGGGACTCCTGGGACCTTCGGTGGAACTCCCTATGGGGCCACGAAACGTGTGAAGGGTGTGCCGAAATGGATGTGCGGGACGCATGCGGGCACTGGGACTTTCGGTGGAGGCCACGAAGCGTGTGAGGGGTATGCCGACATGGGTGTGCGGGACGCATGCGGGCACACCCTCTGGGACCTTCGGTGGAGCTCCCATGGGGCCACGAAACGTGTGAGGGGTGTGCCAGCGGGAGGAAGGAGGGACGTGGAGGCGTGTTTCTTCCAAACTAGGACCCAACACCACAGGATGGTTGGGAACACACACGCACAGACACAATTAATCTACGATTCCCCGGAAAATTTGGGGAAATATGGGAAGTGGGGGGGAAGACGAAAACCCAGAAAGTATTGGAACATATCGTGCATCCTGCTATTTGTATGTATTTGTGTGTCGCAGGGCCCTTTCAATTTCGCCATTTTGACCGCCATATTGGTTGCCTTGGGCCCAACCGGGCTTTCCAGCGCCCCGCGGCCCGAGGATTCGGACCCCCGAGAGGGGGCAGTGCAGGTGTTCCGACGGCGCAAAGCAGCCGTTATGCTGAAGAGGTGGTCATCTGGTAAACCATCGTCCACGACAGCGAATGTGGCGACTGGTGACAAAGTTCCGCGATGGATGCGCATGCGTACACACGGTATTGTGATCGTCTTGTTGATGAACACGTCGTTTTCCTTTGTCGGCTGCCTGCGGCAAGTCCCGCCACCGTGCCATCCAGCATCCTGGGTGGGGACTTTTCGAGGGGGCACGGGAGACCGTCACGTGTGACACTTCGTGTCTCCAGGCTTCAGAGAGCGGTGATGAGGATGATAATAATGAGGACGATGACGAAGATGACGAAGATAATGGGGACGATGGGGATGATAATAATGAGGACGATGAGGATGATGTTCGACATGGTTGGTGATGACGATGATGATCGATGATGGTGATCGATGATGATGATGATGATGATGATGATGATGATGATGATGATGATGATGCTGACGATGATGATGATGATGATGATGATGATGATGATGATGATGATGATGATGATGACGATTATGATGATGATGAGGGTGATGATGGTGATGGTGGCGGTGGTGATGAGGATGATGGCGACGATGACGATGATGATGGTTGTGATGGAGCTGGCGATGGTGATGATCACGACGATGATGATGATGGTGATGGTGTTGCTGGTGGTGAGGATGCAGGTGATGATGGTGTTGTTGCTGCTGCTGATGAGGATGATGATGATGATGATGCTGATGCTGCCGACAATGGTGATGATGACGATACTGATGATGATGACGATGATACTGATGATCATGATGATGATGATGACGATGCGGGCAACGATGCCGATGATGCTGATCATGATTATGACACTGCTGTTGATGACAATGATGATAATGATGATTACGATGACGCCAGCGATGACGATGATGATGATGCTGCTCTTGATGATGATCAGGATCAGGATGACGATGATGATGCTGATTGTGCTTGTGATGGTGATGACGCTGATTGTGATGGTGAAAGTGTGATGCTGCTGATGATGATGTTGATGATGTCGATGCTGACGCTGATGATGGTGATGACGCTGTTGCTGATTATGGTTATGATGCTGGTGCTGATGATGATCATGATGATGATGCAAGCTACCATGCTGATGACACTGATCATGCTGATGATGATTCTGTTGATGATGCTCATGATGCTAATTATGCTGATGCTGCTGATGTTGATGATGATAACGATGATTAGTATGACCATGCTGATGTTGATGATGATGAGGATAATGATCCAGACGAGCGATTTTGATGATGAGTGTTACGACGATGGTGACGATGACGACGACGATGCTGATGATGATGATGCTGCTGATGATGATGATGATCATGCTCATGATCATGATCATGACGATGGTGATGATGCGAATGATGATGCTGAAGGTACTGTATGCTGATGATGCTGATGGTGATGGTGATGGTGAGGGGGATGATGATACTGATGATGATGGTGATGCTGATGATGATGATGATGATGATTACGACGATGGTGATGGTGGTGGTGATGATGATAAGGAAGACGCCGATGATGATGCTGACGATGACGACGATTATGATGATGATGATGCTGATGGTGATGCTGATGCTGATGCTGATGCTGATGATGTTGATGCTGGTGCTGCTGCTTCTGCTCATGATGATGCTGATGATGATGACGATGATGATGCTCATGATGCTAATTATGCTGATGCTGCTGATGTTGATGATGCTAACGATGAGTAGTATGACCATGCTGATGTTGATGATGATGAGGATAATGATCCAGACGAGCGATTTTGATGATGATTGTTACGACGATGGTGACGATGACGACGACGATGCTGATGATGATGATGCTGCTGATGATGATGATCATGATCATGATCATGATCATGACGATGGTGATGATGCGAATGATGATGCTGAAGGTACTGTATGCTGATGATGCTGATGGTGATGGTGATGGTGAGGGGGACGATGATACTGATGATGATGGTGATGCTGCTGATGATGATGATGATTACGACGATGGTGATGGTGGTGGTGATGATGATAAGGAAGACGACGATGATGATGCTGACGATGACGACGATTATGATGATGATGATGATGATGATGATGATGCTGATGCTGATGCTGATGCTGATGCTGATGCTGATGCTGATGCTGATGATGTTGATGATGCTGGTGCTGCTGCTTCTGCTGATGATGATGCTGATGATGATGACGATGATGATGCTGATGATGATGATGATGATGATGATGATGATGATGATGATGATGATGATGCTGCTGCTGCTGATGATGATGATGATGATGATGATGGTGATGCTGAAACGGGGTTGGGCCGTTTCCAGGCTGTCTTGGCCTCCTGTGTTGCAGGCTTGGAGGTCCTTTGGGGCCCTCTTACGCCGTTTTGGGGCCCTCTTACGCCGGCTTGGGGTTCTCTTGGTCCGTCTTGGTGCCCTCTTGACCGTATGGTGGGTGTCTGGAGGCTATTTTGAGGCCGTGTTGGCGCCGTCTTGGGCTGTCGATGGGCCTTCTCAGGGCGCCTTTGGTCCCACGGGAGGCCCTCTTGGGCCTTGGATGTCTCTTGGGACATCGTGAAATCCTCGTTGGCCGTCTTGAGCTGACGGCACCCCGAAACGGCGAGAATGCGAAACTCATCAAACACCCAAGGTAGATCAATGTTTTGGGCTTCTTCGGACCTCGTTGGAGGTCCTCTTGTGGCCCCTTTGGGTACTCTTACAGGCATCGATGGCTGTCTTGAAGCGATGATCGGCCGCCTTGGGGCCATCTTTGGTCGTCTTCGGTCTTCGTGGCATCGTGGGTCATCTTGGTGTCCTTGGTTGGCTGCGCGGTCCGTCTTGGAAGCTCGGAACGTCGATCCATAGTTGCTGGACGAGGGATCGTGGTTTTGGAGGCTCTGGACCGCTTGGGAGCAGCGCCTCCGAATAGGGGAAGTGCACAATCCTCAAGCGGTGCGCGTGGGATGAGCTCCTCAGGAGGTAGCAGCCACTCGGGAAGTGCGCAATCCTCGAGCGGGCGCGGATGGAATGAGGATTCAGGCATTAGCTGCCATGCGGGAAGTGCACCACCCTCGAGCGGGCACGCGTGGAAGAGGTGCTCAGGCTTGAGTTGCCATGCGGGAAGTGCACCATCCTCGAGCGGGGACGCGAGGAAGGGAGGTTCAGACAGCATGCGAGAGGTGCACCAAGAAGTGTACCATCCTCGAGCGGGCAAGCGTGGAAGGGGCTAGTGTTAGACATCAAGTTGCCATGCTGTAAGTCCACCATCCTCGAGCGGGCCCGAGGACAGGGGCCTCGGAGAGGAGGGGCGGTGCACGCAAGAGTCTGCGGGTAAGGTGGGAGGTCTCCCCCATGAGAGTTCAAATCCTGCCAGGCAGACCTTGTTATTCTGCCACGCCTCAACGTGCACAAGGCACTGGCGGATGTCCAGTGTTGGAATGCTTGCTCGAGAACCGATCCTGATATGCATTGCATCATGTGTTATGATGACGTGTTTGTTTTTTTGGGGACATCTGCTTTCCCCCGTGACCAGATTCCAGTAGACTTTCCGCAGGGTTTGTTTGTCACTGCTCCCGCCAAGAGGACGAGGCACGTCATGGGGCATTGCAGGCAGCTGCATTCAGTAGCCACCGATCGAGTCGTGCGTGCACGTGCTGCCGACCGCCTCTGCACTGCCATGTCCTCGAGACTGGCCGCGGAGGATCTCCTGTCTTTCCTGTCCGGCTCCGCCGACTACGCGCCCAAGAGCGGCGAGATCACTGGCATCTTGAAGCAGATGGGTGCCCACTTGCTTCCACCGTGACTGTCTTGCTCTCTTGCGCGAGGCAGCGGCGAGGATAAATCCGCTCCAGAGCGCTCTCGGAGCGTTCCGGAACGCTCTGAGAGGGCTGCGGCGCCCGAGACATCTTCCAGAGCCGCCAGATCTCAGAGATTCTCGATTTGTCCTCGTCCAGGGAATGCTCGTCCGAGTTTTATCCTCGTCCTGGCTTCGTCCCGGTCCCAGTCTTGCCCTCGTCCCAGTTCTTGCCTCGTTCTGGATTCGTCTTATCTGGGGGGGCGGGAGGACCTGGGACAAGGCGACGGCCCAGGGGGGAAGCACCCGCCAGGGAGGCCAGCGGAGGGGCCAGAGGCCAGGGGGTGGCGGACGACGAGCCACGAGCCACGAGAAGAGAGCGCTCGGAGCTGCATGGCACGGCGCGCAAGAGGATCGGCTAACAAGGAGCCTCCTTTGGCGGGTGGGGGGGGGAACCCCAGCTTGGCCCCCTGGGCCTCAAGAAACAACGAACCTTCCTGGTCGAGCCAGGGATGCGCTCGACTGGGATTGAGCCGTGTCCAGCGCCTGGAAAACCACCGATCTTCCTGGACCTCTGGAGGCGGTGGATATTTGATGTGTATATATATATACACATATAAAACTGTGCAGGGACAGGTCCATGTGTCCGTGAGTATGATTACACACATGTAAATACACAGAGAATGCAAATGTGTGTGTGTGTGACCCACGAGGCCCCACTCTATGCATGTCCACCGCCCCTGGGTGCAAGGGCGTCGGAGCCCCATCGGCGCCGCACCCCCCCATCATACCAAGACCATGTGTGCGTCGACCCTCGGGGGCGACGCGCGCGCGCCGAGGGACGCTGTTAGCAGATGCTCGGCGGCGGGCGCTCGGTCTGCGCCCGCTCCGAAGGCGAGGCGCCGCGAGGCCTCGCAGAGCCTTGAGAAGTGAGAGCGCCCAAGGAGGAGGAGGAGGAGGAGGAGGAGGAGGAGGAGGGGCCAGTGAGGCGTGGAGATGCGAGCGGCTCGAAGTGCTCGGGGGTCGGGGGCCGCCTGGAAGTTTTGGCAGGCGCCCTACCAGGCAGCCTCCGCGTGCCAGCGGAGCACGGGTGCAGAGAGTTTAGTGCTCGTGTGGCTGCCAATCGACGACGGGGTCGTTCGTCGGGCGAGATTTGGGTCTTCCCCCCTTGGACCCGTCACCTGCTGTCACTTTTTCTTGGCCTCCAGAAAAATAGTTGCAGTTGCCTCTGGGTCAGTTTCTTGGACGGCTTGGGTTGAAGTGTGAGCGTATGGGGTTCATTGCGTGAGGGTTTGGGTCGCGCGTCATTCGAAGGCCGTTGGCGAAATCTTGCGAAGAGCAATAGCCAAGCCACCCATTCACGACAGCTCCACGTAGTTTTGCACATTGCTTTTTCTGTCCGTGGTCGTCTTCGTTCTAGCAGCACTCCGCACGGGCTCTGGCAGAGTGCCCGAATCGGATATCGGAGACACGAGAGCGGCGTGGCCCGAAAGGGGACGAGATGACCGCCTCGTTGGAGGAGGCGATCGCCGCCGAGGAGAAGGCGCAGGGCGCGTTCAATGAGATGGTGGCTGCGAAGACCAAGGCTCGAAGAAGGAACAACTGCATAACACGGACCTTCGACGCTCCGCGCGGATTTCTTGGATCGGCGCTGGGGCTCCCCTGGCGGCACCTCCGGCGCCGCCATTGGCGCGCTCCGCGCGCCAGGGAGGGGGACCCAGCGCAGATCCAAGAAGTCTGCGCGGACCTCCGAAAGTTGGTGCTTCTGCCTTGTCCTGCGCCTCCACGGCCCGCCCCCCACAGATGGGTCGCAGCCGGGACATGGACAGCTCCAGTCTAGGGTGGCCGAGAGATCCGTGTGCCGAGAGTTCTTGGGAGGAGGGGCGTGGCGCAGAGATGCCTGCGGCGTCCTGGAGAGGGGAGGCGGGGGGGAGGAGGAGGAGGAGGGAGGAGGAGGAGGAGGAGGAGGAGGAGGAGGAGGAGGGAGGAGGAGGAGGAGGAGGAGGAGGAGGAGGAGGAGGAGGGGACGCGCCCTCTGCCGCCAGCCCGAGAGGGTGAGCCGCCTCGTGGCCGGGGTTGGGGAAGTCTTGGGGCCGCGGGGGCCGTCCCGAATCTCTGGGAGCATCCTGGGGGGACACCTCCTGCTCCTCCTCCTCCTCCTCCTCCTCCTCCTCCTCCTCCTCCTCCTCCCTCCTCCTCCTCCTCCTCCTCCTCCTCCTCCTCCTCCTCCTCCTCCTCCTCCCTACCCTGGGCCTCGAGGACACACATAGGGGGCCCCTTGAAGGCGTATCGGGGCTGCATGGGTGCCCGGTCGGGCCCTCTTGGCGCCGGAATCTTGGGCCGTCGGGGGCCATCTTGGACAATCTCGGGGGCTCGGCGGCCATCTCGAGACGATCTCGAGACATCCCAAAAGCAAAACATTGCAGATGCGAGCCTTGCGGAATCACGCACGTTTTTGTTCAACATTTTCTGATTCGGGGGTCGTTCGGGGGGTCTCCTGGACTATCTTGGACGCATCTCGGGGTTGTCTTCGGCAGCATTGGGCTCCCGTGGACCTCATCGGGGCCTCGTTGGACCGTCCTGGGGGCCCCTTCGGCTCTCTTGGCTGTCTGGTGCTGCTCGTGCAGAATTCCTGAGGCAGCCTCCAGCTGCTCGGAGGACGAGGGAGGTGGCTTTTCGGGGCGCCCGGCCCCTTCCCCGCTAGCCCACAGTAGGACGAGAAAGCAGACAGGGCTGTACAGACGGGGCGAGAAGAAGCAGACACGACAAGGAGCACTGGCAAGGCAGCAGACCGGCAGCGGCATCACCGCCATGCGCTGCCAAGCGTCGGATGACATGCAAAGCAACAGTTTCTATCATTGGACTCACGCCACACCGCTGACCCCCTTGGGAACTGGCGGTTGTTGTGTGTTGCTCCTGAGGGCCTCTTGTGCGCCTCTTGGGGGTTTCTTGGAGATCTTCTGGGGCTTCATAAGGGGGCCCCTTGGGGGCCTTTTCGGGGGCTGACATTCTCAGCGTTCTCCGTGCGCGCATGGGGAAACGGGCGAGAGCCCACGTATACAGACGGCGGGCGTCTGTCAAAACACCCGAATAATCATTATCGAAGACGCCTACGGCGAATCACCGCCGCCCCCCGCCTTCTAGAATCGCCCATGTGGCCGAGCGTTGTGGCAAAAGCTCGGCCAAAGTATCGGGCCATGTGTTCCCCCAACCGTTGTGGAAACCCTTCGGGGAATACTTGGGGGAGGATGGCGGGGAAGATTGAGAGGATGCGGAGGAGGAGGAGGAGGAGAAGGAGGAGGAGGAGGAGGAGGAGGAGATGGAGGAGGAGGAGGAGGGGTCATCTTGGAAGCCTCTGGGGACACTCTTGGGGCCTCCTGGGAGCTTCCTGGGAGCCTCTTGGATCTTTTCGCTGTCTTGATGGGCTCTTTGGCTGTCTTGGGGGCTTCTCGGGGGCCTCTTTGGCTGTCTTGGTGGGCCCCTGGCCCGTCTGATGCCGTCGGAAGCCGTCTTTGGGAGCCTCTCTGGGCTGTCTAGTGGCCCTCTTGGGGTGCTCCAGGGCCGTCTTGGAGGCCATCTTGGGCGTCTTGGAGGCCTCTTGGGCCGTCTTGGGGGCCTCTTGGGTCCGTCTTGGGGGCCTCTTGGGCCGTTCTGGGGCCATACTGGAGACCTCTTGGGCGATCTTTGGGGGCTCTCGGGCCGTCTCGGGCTGTCGGAAGGCAGAAAAAAAGCAAATGCCACAATCCTTGAGAAACCCTAGGAAAAGCAATGCTGTTTGCCTCTTCGGGCCTTCCTGGAGGACCTCTTGGAGGCCTCTTGGGCCGTACTGGCGGCCTCTTGCGAGCCTCTTGGGCCGTCTTGGTGGGCTCCTGGTCCGTCTGACGCCGTCGGAAGCCGTTTGGAGGGCCTCTCTGGGCCGACTTGGGGCCCTCTTGGGGTGTTTCAGGGCCGTCTTGGAGGCCACCTGGGGCGTCTTGGAGGCCTCCTGGGCCGTACTGGGGGCCTCTTGGGGCCGTCTTGGGGGCCTCTTGGGCCGTTCTGGGGCCATCTTGGATGCCTCTTGGGCGATCTTGGGGCGATCTTTGGGGGCTCTCGGGCCGTCTCGGGCCTTCGGAAGGCTGAAAAGAAGCAAATGTCATATCCTTCGAACACCTACTGAAAATCAATGCTCCTCCTCCTCCTCCTCGTCCTTCTCGTCCTCCTCCTCCTCCTCCTCCTCCTCCTCCTCCTCTGCCTTCCCCTCCTGCGCCCCCCGAGACGAAACCAGGGCGAAAGTGACCGGACGCACGAAGACGAAGCCAGGACCAGGGTTAATCCGGGCGAACATAAATCCACCGACCCGCGCGGCGTGTGTGAGGGGCTTGTCCGTTCGAGTCGTCGTGTCCGTCATTCGTCCGTCGTCGTCTTTGTCGTTCCCTTTCCCTGGAGCCTCCCCTCAAGCGCTGGGCCCGTCGCCGCTCCCCCTCCTCCCGAAGTAAAGCAATGGCAACAGGTTGGAAGGTCGATGAGGGATGGGGCGCCATCCAGAAGATTGATCAGATTCTGTTTTAGCGCCGAGGGGATGCTCGCCACGCTCGCTATGTATGTGTATGCATTTATGTATGTATGTATGTATGTATGTATGTATGTATGTATGTATGTATGTAGGTATGCATGTAGGTATGCAATGTATGTATGTATGTGTGTATGTATGTATGTATGTATGTATGTGTGTATGTATGTATGTATGTATGTATGTATGTATGTATGTATGTATGTATGTATGTATGTGTGTATGTGTGTATGTATGTATACATGTATGTATGTATGTAACAGTGCAATGCAATGCAATGCAATGCACTGTAATGTAATGTAATGCAATGCAATGCAATGTAATGTAATGTATTGTAATGTGTGTGATGTTTGTAATGTGTGTAATGTATGGTATGTATGTATGTATGTATGTATGTATGTATGTATGTATGTATGTATGTATGTATGTGTGTACATGTATGTATGTTTGTATGCATGTGTGTGTATGTATGTGTGTATGTATGTATGTATGTATGTATGTATGTATGTATGTATGTATGTATGTATGTATGTATGTATGTATGCATGTGTGTATGTATGTATGTATGTATGTATGTATGTATGTATGGATGTGTAACTATATACTAACAGAACTTTTAGTCAGACTAAAAAGGACTGCGCGGGTACCAAGTAGGCAAGTACAGTGCAGTATCTAAAGTCGGCAACAAATAATGACGTGCCTCTCTGGGCCGACTTGGAACCCTCTTGGGGTGTTTCAGGGCCGTCTTGGAGGCCATCTTGGGCGTCTTGGAGGCCTCCTGGGCCGTCTTGGGGCCCTCTTAGGGCCGTCTTGGGGGCCTCTTGGGCCGTCATGAGGCCATTTTGGAGGCCTCGTGGGCGATCTTGGGGCGATCTTGGGGGCCTCTTGGGGCGATCTTGATCCGTCGGAATGCCGAGAAGAAACAAATGCCAAAATCCTTCAAACAACCTAAAGAGAATCAATGGTTTTGGCATCTTCGGACCCTCCTGGAGGACCTCGTGGAGGCCTCTTGGGTCGTATTGGGCCGTCTTGGTGGCTTCTTGGGCGAACTTGGAGATATCTTGGACTCTTGGGCCGTCATAAGTCCGTCTTGGACCATCCTGGGCGGACTTGGAGGCCATCTTGGGCCATCTTGGAGGCCATCCTGGGCCAACGTGGCCATCTTGGAGGCCATCTTGAGCTGTCTTGGAGGATTTGTTTCCAGATTGAGGTCCTTTCCGCGTGGCCGGCGGGACGCGCCGGAGCCCCAGGGGGAGCTCTTTTGAAAAAAGCCAAAACCAAACACGATAGGATTTGGCACGCCAGGCACCCACCCCTCTTGCAAGCAACAGGGGGCGGCGGATCGAATGGCCTTCGGCACATTCCGCCACCGTGCCTGGGGTGCGGGTCTGAGGCCACTCGGATGGCTGATGGGGTCTCGTGGGAGGCGTCTCGGGGTCGTCTTAGAGGCATTTTTTGAACCTCTTGGGGGCCTCCCGGGGGTCTCGTTGGGGCTTTTTGCGGCCATCTTGCGGCTCTCTGGAGGCCTGTTGGAGGCTTCTTGGGGCAGCCTGGAGGCGCCTTGGGGTGGAGGACTCGAAATGTCTGCTCGGGTTTCTCTTTCGGCCCCCTCCTGGGGCTGCCCTGGGTTCCTCCTGGGCCGTCTTGAGGGCTTCTTGTGCCGTCTTTTTGCCCTCTTGGGTCGTGTTTGAGCCCTCTCGGGGGCATCTTGGCCCGTCTTGGGGCGATCTTGAAGGCCTTTTGGGCCGCCTGGGTCGTTGTGAACGCCCAAGAGGCGATTGTGTTAAAACTGCAAATTTTCCCAATGGGATGGGAATATGTTTGCTTCTGGAGGCCCTCTTGGGACGCCTCTTTGGGTCTCCTTGGGGCGTCTTGGAGGCCTCTTGGGCCGTCTGGAAGCCAGCGTGGACGTTTTGGATCGATCTTTCAGCGACGCGTGGCCCTCGTGGACCGCCCCATGAGCCTCTTGGGGCCCTTTTGGCCTGTTTGGGGACCTTCTGCTCCCCTGGATGCGTTCACCCAGATCCCGGGGGGGACCCTCCCCTCCTCCCAATCGACCGGACACGCCGATGAACCCCAAGGGGTCGGCGGATTTTGCTCCCGCCGCAGGGCAGGCATGGTTGTTCGATTGCCTCTGGGGAGGGAGAATGATATAGCCTGGAGTTCTGTCCAACTACCCTTGCCCCGAGCCTCACAGTCGTTTCCTCGCCCTCCTGACCCTTTGTTGCCTTTCCTCCTTAACTTCTTAACCCCCTGCTCGAACAAGACAAAACACATACACATGAATGTTCGAAGGTCCTCACATATTCTTGAATCGACTTTGAAACGCCAGGGAGTAAGGTCCAGTGCCGACACAAGAACTCTGCGCGGACCTTCGAAATGTTCTGCAAAGCATTTGATTTGTATGTTGCCTCTGAACTTCGTCTGGCTGACACTTCGTGCCATGGGGCTATCGGACATGTCTTTCAAGGCACACGACATGGCAATTCCAGCTGGGTGGTCCGCTTGGCCTATGTGGACACTCGCTGGGGCAGTGGAAGGGATATGTGTTGTTGCCTCTCATCGCGTAACAGTATTATCCTATGTTTTGCGGTCCATGCATGTCCAATCATCGCTTACATGCGGACAATACTTCCAGGAACTACTTGGGTTGTATTAGGTTGTGTTACGCCATTTTGGGTTTTCGTTTGGACGGTGGGCATTGCCGTTCGCATGGTGTGGGTGTTGATGCACGCGGCACGTTCACGACGTGTTCGCGATACCATGAGTCGCGTTTTAGGTTCATATCAACGATTTTGAGATATCAAGATGAAGCAATACTATGTGCATGCCACATCTGCAAAACTGACAGGCATGCATTTATTTTAGCCTCCAGGGACGCGAAACCACTTCGGGTCGCATTGTCCTGTCCGTCTATGCTTGATGCTTGTGTGCCCCGTACCATGTTTCCATTCCCTTATTTGGGCCAGGAGATCAACACGGTGACCGCGCAGATAGAGGATCGCCAATCGGACAATGCACACTTTGTGCGCTTCAGTGTTTTGGCCCACTGATGTTCCAAACGGCAGCGTTGCGAAATTTATTCGTGGTTGTGGTTTCGTGTGCCTGTGCATGTTGTGGTCGGGTCGGAGAAAGGACCACACAGAAGTCGATGTTTGTATGCGAAGGGTGTCATCTCTGCCTCCCACCGTCCACGAGTACCTCTGGGTCCCTACTCGACCGATCGTCTCTCTCAGTGCTCGTCTCCTCCCTCCCTCGCACTCCGTCCTTCCACTCGTCGCTTGTAAGCTGGTCTCACTTCAGATGTGGGTGGTTCACGATGTGCCTCTCTCGGAGCCCCTGAACCGGGTTGACGCAAAAGGGGGTCCAGCGACAAGGAGGTTGCAACACATGTTGGGCGTGCAATACATGCCGGGACGCAAATGTATCGTTGGATTCTCGCGTGCAATACAATACAATGATTTGCAATGCAATACAATTCTCTGGCGCAAAACATTTGCAATACAATTGCCCCAAACCTATGGCACCACCCCCTTTCAGCTGGACCCCCTTGGGTCACCCAAAATAGACTTTTCCTGTGAAGCCCCGAGGGACAGGGCAATTCCACCGAACACCAGCGCAAGCAGGAGCACAGCGAGGGGTGGCTAAACTCGGGAGGGTCAAGACACAAACATACACACACAGAGAGACACACTTCATCGTCGACTCCCAGGAGGAGATGGGGAACTATTGGAAGGGGGGGGGAGACGAGGTTCCAGAAAGCACCCAAACTGGACCCCCTGTTGGGTCACCCGAACTGAACTCCTTTCCTTCCCCGCCCACCTCCGTCGCTTCTCTGCCGATCGCCCTCCCCCCCCCTCCCGACCCCGGGGGGGGGGGCCCGCGCTCTTGCGGAGGGACCGTCCGCGCTGCTCGCGGGCCGACCGCCGGGGCTGGGCCCCGAGGGGCCTCGTGCTAAGTCGGGCCTGTCCGTTTACAGGAGGGATATTCGGAAAACGGCTAAAAAGTAGTCAGGGGACGATTCTTGGACCATTTCTGAGCATCTCTTGTGGGTATTTCTCGAATGTGTATTATGTTTCGTCCAAAAAATCCGCCCATAGGGGGACACGCTCGACCTAAGCCTCGTGCCCTCCGCGAGAAAGGATGGTTCTGCCTCCAGCGGTCCCCACCAGAGCCGCTGGCACTTCTGGGGCGGCGGCGGAGGATAGGTCAGAGCCCCGAATCAGCAGGGGTAACTCGGGTCAGGGCTAACTCGGGTTCGTTTTTCGGGATTCCGAGCCCGAGTTACCCCGGACCCGAGTTACCCCGGATATCTCGGGCGTCCAGAGCCCCGAATCATCAGGGGTAACTCGGGTCAGGGCTAACTCGGGTTCGTTTATCGGGAGCCCAAACCCGAGTTGCCCCGGACCCGAGTTGCCCAGGATAGCTCGGGCGCCCAAATAGGTCATGTCAGGGGCCACGACAGGGGGGGCGGGCACAGGGAGGGCCACATCGGCCCCCAAGCGCCCATGGATCGCCGAGGGGGTCCCGAAGGCCCCACCCTGCCCAGGGGGAGGGGCTTCACGACCGTCGGCCCATCGACACTCTGCCGGCGGTGCACCGCCGAGTCCGGGTCGAGTCAGGAGGGGAAAAAACACACAGACACAATTAATCGTCGATCCCAAGGAAAATATGGGAAAATATGGGAATTGGGGGGGAAGACAAAAACCCAGAAAATATAGGAAAATATGGGAACTATTTTTATTTGTGCGTATTTATTTGTGTGTCCTGGGGCCCCTTCATCGAGGCCTTCCCCCCCCCCGCCCCCCTGGGCCAGTCCGCCCCCCGAGGTCCTGCCCCTCGTGGCGCGGGCAGAGGGCGGGCCCCTCCGCCTGCCCGTGGCCCCCCCGGCGTGCCGGGAGCCGCGCCTCGGAGGCAGCGGGCTCGGCGGCGGCCCTCGGCGGCCGTCGAGGCCATTGTTCGGGGGGGGAAGAAACACACAGACACAATTAATCGGCGATTCCCAGAAAATATGGGAAAATATGGGAAGTGGGGGGGAAGACAAGAACCCAGAAAATATAGGAAAATATGTATGATATTTTTATTTGTGTGTATTTATTTGTGTGTCCCAGTTC